GTTGGACGATGGTAGTACCTGGAGCTCTTCATCATCGGAAGAAGTAACAGAACCCTCAACAAGCTACGTTGCTGGGCACCCAGCGATTGAGCAGAAAGAGACTCTAAGAAGTGGTTTGCGGTCTTGGGCAACAGACTGCAACACCCCGATTAGACATCTGACGAAACTATCAAAATTTTGAAGCGTGTTGCCCCCGACATACCAGGTGATGGACGTACGCATTTGAAAGGAAAAGCACTCGGACAAAGGTGACGGCAGTGGGCAGCCGTAGTCGTATGTCCTCCTAACACGTCACGCCGCGCACGAGTTTACATGAGGCTGTCTGTCTGATCTCAATCCGTCCAATGAGATGCTCGCATTAGTAGGCTAGCCTCAATCAATCCGTCCAGACACAGACCTCAATGCAGTTACTGACATCAGGCCAGCACTTCGGACTCAGTCACCCCAGCTGACTGACGGGCGCTTCGACGGATTCTTTGTACCCCTTCTTCCATTCCCTGTGTACAGAATATACTGCTCCTACCACTATGGCCTCCCACCTTTTCTTCTGCTCCTTAGGAACTGGGCCTGGAAGATGGTAGTTGTTGGGAGTTCACTTTGCTAACCTTCATTCTTCGATAAATCTTTTGTAGTTTACCTGCCGGTATAGGGTAGGTAATGCAAGCCCCTGCATTTAAGGTACATGGCGCCGCTATCGGCATGTTGCATGAATTCAGAGCCATACGGTATTTTTAGCATTAAGGCACTGTGTATCGTGTCGCTAATAGGCACCTGAATGACGGCTAGGTCCTCACCTCAATGTGTTTGGCAATTGCTTCGCCAAGAAGAGTGCGGTTATTCCGCGGTTGGTTGTCAGAAACCGCCCAGGCAACCTTCTTAGTCCTCTTGGCATGTTGCGGCGGCAAAAGGTGAAGAGAGGATTGACTTCGCAGACTGTCGCGTTCCGCCACTGACATGACACACTCGGGATTCTTGAAGGCTCGATAGACAGCATAGTAGTAGGGTACCGTTGCGTGCGGATGATAGGTAATGAACATTGAAAACTGTTGAATAGAGTTTTAAAAAAGAGACATGCTGTTAACGGATGATATTATGACAGGGGTTGATAAAAGCCATACGTGTTGAGCTGTAAGATTTAGGAAGAAAAGCCTTTGCATATAACATGGGTTGAGAATACTGACAACTATTAGGGTGGTTTCGCAGAGGTGCTCAATCGAGTTGATCCAATTGTGAAAAATTTTTGGCCTCAGTGGGAGTCGAACCCAAACAGAAGAAGAGGCTTTTGTGCAGCCAAAGCTCTACCATTGAGTTACGAGGCTCACCGTGAGCCCTGAATTTAATCCGTGCTGTGTGCGTTCGACTTAAACAAATAAATTAATTGTATATTTAAGGCCCAAGGGGTCTTTCCTTACAAACTTACTGCTATCGCGAGAATAAGAAAATAAAAAAAGTTCAGATTAACAACGAACTCTAATAAGATAATTATCTGAGCAGTGTTAGATCCGATTAACAACGAACTCTCTCATAAAATAATTTTCTGGGCAGTCGAAAA